TGGGGCAGGAGGCCCGAAAAGGACAGCTTCGTAGATGACAGGCGGTTGGAAGGAGACTCTGCTCTTGTCAGGAAATGGCTTCGCCTCCTCTGCTTCGTTTAAATGATTAAAAAAAAAAAAACAAAACAGTTAAGGTTTTTGGAAGTTGTACCCTTCGGCTGCCCCACTGTCTGGCCCTCGTTTACATTGTGCTGTTGTCCTAGGCAGTATTAAGTGATCTAGGAGATGAGGGGAAGGATGGAAGGTATGCATGCAAGGCCCAGTTTAGAGTGGCTGGGGGGTGCTACAGATCCTTTTTAAGAAACAGCAGTTCTTAAATTTTCATCCCTCTGAAAGGAACCTGCCCTTGATAGGTGCTGGTACGCTGCAGAACTGGTGAACTACCCTAATTTCTCCTGTGCTCATTTTCAGGGGCCAAGTCAGGAATATGGCAACTCTAAAAGACAGTAAGTGCGACTTTTGTTTGCTCTTGAGAGAGGGGAAAGTGTTGCAGGAAAGCCATATGTTAATGTATAATTTTGGTTAGCCTCTGTTGGATAAACTAATTGTGTTACACTGTTACGCTGATATCGGAGCCTCCGGCACTTCTTGTATTAAACAAGTATCCTTCAGAAAAGGCATTGCGTAAAATGTTTTCAGCACTGACTTAGGTGTCGTCTCAGCAAACCAGTATCGTTTCACTCAAACGTATTTTAAAAATAATTTTATCATATGTGCTGAACCAGATTTTTGCTCATCTTTAAGAACTAGTTTATTTTCTGTTCTATATCTTTCCCTGTGCATTTATCCAACATTAGGGGAAAAAAGGTTGACTGAATGGTTTCACTTTGATAATGCTCCTTTAAGCCATTCCTTGGAGATTCTTATACAGGGGTATTGCCTTGGAATTGCGGTGGTCTATAGGATGCCTGTTTTGTTTTCTTTTTGCATGAGTGTTTTTATGAATCTCATTTTGTCGCAGACTAAACAGATGAGGAAGTTTATGCTGTTTCTTTATAGTATGGGGTCTTGTTTTGTTTTGTTTCCTCCCCTTGTCGGCTATGAAAAGATTGCAATATACTTCAAATGATAGATTTGTGAAGTAGAAGGAAAGGGAATAATAAATAGGTCTTGCATTGGGCTAAATAGTAAATGTTTTGTGTGGGGGAAAAAAAGTTATACCTGTTGTAAAGATGCATTTGGGTTAGCTGGATTACTGCTCTTGCTGCTTTCTTACTGTAAATACTAAGGGCATGTCTTTTAGGAGGTGTGTTTGTGTGTTGTCTGTTTATTTTTTTCTTCTCCGAGGAACTTGGCAAGATATTTTTTGATGGCTGTTGCTAGCATTTTATTGCTTGTTTTTGATGTCGTTATGCCCAGTGCAGCCTATGACCTTCAACTATTAACCTTATAGTTACCAGGCGCTTGAAGTCCATCAAGAACATTCAGAAAATTACGAAGTCCATGAAGATGGTGTCTGCAGCAAAATATGCAAGAGCTGAGAGGGAGCTGAAGCCTGCTAGAGTCTATGGAACAGGAGCACTGGGTGAGAGAGGGCTCTTGCATGGTGTGGTGTGGCAAAGGAAGAGGAAGGCTTTCATGGTGCTGATAGAATGCCTAGACTTTTATAACCTTTCGTTGGATTTTTTTTTTTTCCCCCAAAAAAGAATTTGTATCTCTAGGCCACTGTCACCTTGAATGCTTCTTAGAAGTAATTTATGGATAGCTATTTTTAAGAGCTCTAATGTGAAATTCATTATGATTTCTGATTACTTTTTTAGCTTTGTGTGGTTGCATGGTTGTTTTTGTTAGTCGTAAAAGCACCACAGCTCAGAACTTAACTAAGCAATGCTAGTGATTGTGTGATACCCGATGCAGAGATGTGGCTGGCTTTGAATTGTGTCTTTCTCGCCTCTGGGCAGATCACGTGCAAACTTGAATAGTGTGAGGGAGATAAAATTCATATGGCTGGGATTTGGAGCCGCTTTAGAAATGGTTTTAGTTAGAATAAGTCAAAGGTATTTTGATATGACCTGTTTGCTTCCTGGCACCCTTGGAAAAACTTACCCATCTGTTTTTTTAGCTCTCTATGAGAAAGCAGAAATAAAGGCACCTGAGGACAAGAAGAAGCACCTCCTTATTGGTGTGTCCTCTGACCGAGGTCTGTGTGGTGCTATCCATACATCTATTGCTAAAACCTTGAAGAATGAGATTACCAACCTCTCAAACGCAGGGAAAGAAGTTATGGTGGTTGGAGTAGGTGACAAGATCAGAAGCCTACTTCAGAGGTAAAAAGGAGAAGGGGTTGGGTTGTTTTGGTGGTTTTGTTTGTTTTC